GGGGAACTAGGGGAAAAGGTTTACTTTGGCACCGGGGACTTGGGGATGGCGCATTCCTTCTTTCCCTTCCACCCTCTCTCCTCCTTGCTTCTCTCCCTCCCTCCCTCTCTGTTTCTTTTCCACTTTCTTTTTACTTTTCTGAGACTCCCTCCTCTTTTGCTTTCAAGGTGTGGCCTCACACTACTTTTGTTTGGAAGTACTCATAGGATTATAGGCTTTTCTGGGCATTAGAATTAACCCCAAGTGCTCAAATGTCACTTACCCCACTCCACACTTGATAAATCAATCACCTCTACCTTCTCCTTATTTACTCATCTCCTGTTTCAGTACTTTCAAAGATGGGGATTTATGACCTCATAAAGCCGTGGTCCTTTTTTCTGGGTAGTAACATATCTCCATTATTTTCCTAATTTCTCTTCCCAGGTTCTGACCTCTATTTTTTTTCCTTAGCTTTCTGACAAAAGGTAGCCACATGCTGGAACCACATGCCGTCCTTAGGCTGTTTATTTCCATCTCCTATTTTGTTTCCAGAGATGTGGGTCACTTCATACGTTGCCAACGTTCTCCCCTTTACTTCCTTTCTTTGCTAGTATCTGCAATTCATTTTAGGTCTGTTTTTTAAAAGCTATTAATTTTCTTCTTTAACTCTCCCACACAATGTTTCTTTCTCCTAATTTTTGAGTGTCTTCTAAATAAGAATAAATGAATGAAACATTCCTTTTCAAACTGTCTTTATGCTCTCTCGGAAACTAACAATGTATTACCTTTCTCTGGCCTTGGATGAGTCCTTAATGTTGGGAACACTTCTTTGGTGTAGAGCAAGGATTCTTGTACACATTTATCAGACATTTATTTAGCATAAATACATTCAAGCCATACGTCTCTGGGAATTTTCTATAAGTATTCATTCATTCTTTCACATAAATATTATTGATAACTTTTTAAGCAGAGGCATGTACTTTCAGTCCCAGAAAGCTACATGTGGGTGTTGATAAGCTAGGGCTCATTTTTAGAATCCTGAATATGCTTAATATCTTGCACATTAAACTGCAAGCTCCCTAAAATAGAGATGAGTTTTTATTCATGGTTGTAGCCTCCAGAATCTGATGCTGTTGCTGACACCAATAAGCAATTGTTGAATATGAATGACAGATAATAGTCTTCAAAATATGCTTGATTAAATGAACTGAATCACTCTTGTATAGCAGAAGGGTAAGCTGATAGCTAAATGAAAGTACTGATGAAAAATACCGGCTGGTCTGCGAAATTTGGTATTTACTAATATTCTAAATAGGCAAAAAGACAGCAAATCTTATTTTCTAAGTCTCTGATTTTCCTCCCAACCAACATGACACCTACTTTTCCATTTCATCTTTTGGCAGGGGGCAATGTTGAGTGAAAATTTCATTAATGCTTTGAAATGGGGATGCGGGTGAACCACCCAAGCATCCTACTGGAGTTACCAGACAGCCTCTCACCTTCTTCTGAGGTGGGCATGTCTGACCTGAGTTTTGTTGTGCTGAACTTAAATTGCATCGTCAGATATTTTATTCTCTTTGGTTTTTCGGAGACTTAAGAATTTTATATGAATTAAGTGCAAACACCCAGTTCTTATGAGTGGCAAGATCACATTTGGTATCTACTGCTTAAGGCACTATGTTTTGTCATTGATGTCATGGACTCAGGCTCTCAAATCCAATGCCCAACTCTTCCCCAGGAGTATGCATTTGGGTGTATCAAAATGCTTCGATATTTTTTTATGACATTTAAAAAATTTTAGTGTAAGAAATGTTTATATTAGGCTCTGATAGAATCACATGTGACCTTGATCCCATTAGTACTTTGATATTGTTTTGATTTTGTGAATTAGGATGCTAAAATAAAGAATTGAATCCTCAGCAATAGAAGACTATTACTTGCTTACTTATAAGTAAACCAAATTACCCTGAAAGACCAAAATATCAAGGAAGAAAAATTATTCCACTGCAAATCGAAAGCATAATACATTGAGTGTTTAATATGCATTAGACAATGTGCTAACCATGCTGCTGACATTGTTCCTTTCAACAATTCCATGTGATGTGTACGTCTCCCCTTTTTGAAGTGCTCATGGAAAATAAACAACCTATCCAATATCAGAGATCACCTGTGACAGAGCTAGGTTTCCAAGTTGGGGTTGGTCTCACTCCAAATTAGTGGTTCTTAACCTGGAGCCACACTTCCTGGAAAGTTTGTGGAAAGAATTAAGGGATTCCACGAACTTGAAAAAATTTTTGCACATTTGTTATTTATTTCCTTCCAAGATGGAACATTTTCGGTGATTATGTATGCAGACCCACCACAGAAGCATCAGCAGAAATTGTGGATTTTATTACCTGTAAATATAAAAAATGTTTTTCTATCATGAAACAGTTGTTGTGAACATCTTAAAATATCATTTACTTGTTATTGAGAAATTATAGTAGCTTCTCTTTAATATATTTATATACATATTTCAAATATATTGATATGTTTCAATATAATTGTTTTCCTTTTTAGCATCTTATTTTTATATTCATCTTTATTATTTTCATTATCTTTATTAAATATTATCTTTAAATTTATATTTTACATATTTATCAACTTTATTCTACAATGAGACAATACATTTTGAGTCCATGAACTATGAGTCCATTAGACTGCCAAAAGGATTCATGGCCAAAAACGTTGGAGACCTGATCTAGAGCTACACTTCTTACCTCTTACTCTCCTCTGTGTTCTTGATCTTATGCCATATCTGGATATGCCATATCTTATGCTATATCTGGACACAGCATAAGAGCAAGAAGAAATTTAATGATCTGTGCAAATTACAACTTACCTGTCATAGTATTAAACAGTGGCAGGAAAGAAGGGTGAGTGCAGCATCTAGAACATTTAAACACATCTATTATTTCTAAATGCATAACATCAAAAGGAATAATGATTTAATTTCCTACCAGTCAAGATCTCCAAACACCCATTTCTTTTTCATACACCAGTATCGATTGGCTGCAAGTTCTTTTCTTTTCCCTTGGTTTTGAGGTGTGTTCAGATCATTAACCATGCTCTGTTTTAGATGATTCCTGGATATACACATCCCAGGCAGCCTTCCAATCCTGCTGACTGGCGCCTGGATCTGGGCTCTCAGCTGAGTTACCAGGCAGAAACCAAGCTGTAGATCCCAGAAGCCTGCCAGCCTTTGCCTCCAGTCACACTGGTTTCAGTAGTTAGTGTGTGGACCTATTTTTATTTATGGATTTATTAATCCACTAATGAACAGCAATATAGATTTTATTTATAATAAATCTACCAAATGGCAGGCATTCTTTTTGATACTACATATATAGAAATGTTCTGAGGAAGGTTTTTGAGTTTCTTTTTACTTAAGTGCACATTAATTAATCGATTATTATTAACCTATTAACTGGATTGCTGGATAACTTTGTGACTTTACCCAGCTTCTGAGATGTTCCCATAGACACTGTGGGACTAGAAGACCTTACAAACTTAGTTTCTCCCTGACACTTGCCCAGGAAGATTTCTATATTTCAATATTTCCACAAAGTGATTTCATGTCAATGTTCATGGATTGACTTCTAGCCCGTTACAGGACAGACTTAGCCCTCCTGGTTTATGGGGCAGGAAGTTGTGTCAGAGAAGTATGGCCCTGGAATAATGAAAGGGCCTATGTACAATTTATTTTCTTCTCAGTAGAAGCACGGAAGTGGAGCCAGGTGTGTGTATCTGTAAGAATATCATTGCAGCAGAGTCAAAATGCCAAACCCCTTGTGAGGGGAAGGCCATGTGGATCGTCTGGGATGTTTAATTCCCACTCTGCCACTAACAACTTCTGTGACCTTGAGAATGAGAAAGTCAATTAACCTTTCCAGCTCTCCAATTCCTCATTTTTAAAATGATGACGTTGAACTATGAATCCCAAATATCTCTTCAAGCTCTAAAATTTTATGATTCCATGTTTTTGAGGTATCGTAAATATTGTAAGAGCTTTACTTTTTATTGATGTTTAAAAGATAGTTTCATTTTATAAACATCTGTTCCATGGCACATCATCTTTGATGCTTACATCATAATTCAAAAGTCATTGATTTAAAAATTTTCAGTTTAAGAGGAATGGTTAATACCAACAATTAAAAAAAAAAGCTTTGTACTATATAGCTTAAATTATAGATTGATATTTTAGTCATGCCAACGAGAATGGTATAAAAATATACTTGCTAGATTTTGTGCATTATATGTATAAAACATACATGTTTCTACATACAAAATCTTTTAATTATTGGGTTAAAAATTGTAGGATTGAAGATTTTTGTGTTGATTCTGCAATTTGGCATAATACATGTATTTAAATGTGTATAAACATTAAATTTTCTGCATTGTTTGGGAAGCAGATACATTGTTCCTCACAGTTTTTAGAGCACTGTGTTCTTACCCACTACTAAGATTAGCAAATGGTATTACGTGAAACCGAGTGACAATGGATGGTTTTGATGCAAATGAAACATCATTGTACAAGGCTGTGTTTCGTCACGGTGCTTTCTGGAATGTCACTAAGAAAGTCAGGCAGGCAGTGCATGAACTTTCTGTGCATTTGTCCAGTGGCTTTCGTGATATAAATGTAAAGAATAAATGTATGCATGAAAGTTGTGCTGTCACTCTTGAATAAAGGTGATAAGTAGGACCCATCAAAAGTCTTACAACACTTTTTGTTTCCCAAGGTAAAATTTGAAAGACTAAAACAGCCGTATTATACCCCATTTTTTCTTGGAAGTACCTATTTTATGTCAGAAATGTAACAGATGCATTTTATAAACTTTAACCTGACTTTTTTGTCTTTGTCTTCAGCTGAGTTTCTACTGAGGCAAAGCCTTGGAATGTTCCAACAGTTAGTCTGGGGAGAAAAGTAAGGGAGGGGAACGGGTTTATCTTTAGCACTTATATTAACTTAGTTTGTAAATGCACTTTGAGAGCCTGTTGAAAGGTGGTTTTTCAATTGCTAACTTCTACACAACCTATAGCTATTAAAATTGTAAACAGTCACGGTAAATTCCAAAGGCCTAAACTTGATAGAGTATTTTGTCTGCATACTGAAAAAAGATGAACCTCAGGGAGACATAAATTTGACCTCCAAGTTTCTTTTTATTATTATTTATTTATCTGAGACAGGCTTTCCATCTGTTGCCTAGGCTGGAGTCTAGTGGTGTAAACTCAGCCCACTGCAGCTTCAATCTTCTGAGCTCAAATGATTCTCCTGTTTCAGCCTTCTGAGAAGCTGGGACTACAAACGCATGGCATCACACCCAACTAACTTGTGTATTTTTTTTTTTTTTTTTTTTTTGTAGAGACAGAGTCTCCCTATGTTGCCCAGGCTGGTCTTGAACTCCTGGGTTTGATCTATCCCTCCTCTTGGCCTCCCAAAATGCTGGGACTTCAGGCATGAGCTGCCACGCCTGGCCACCCTCCAGGCGTGATATGAGGTCTAGACCAATGTGTATAGAAAAACCTTTATTTAAGAAAATTCAAATAATGTCAGAGGTCCAAGACCAAAAGTTAACCTCATTCAAGTCATATAAATGCATTTGTCTCCCAGGAGTCAGGATCTGCAGGGATGGTATCCAGGACCTCTCATCCACTGTGGCTTGACAGTTTGCTGGAATCAGTACAGAAACTCAGTCCAGGGTTCTCCCTCTTCCCTTCATCTTCCTAAGAGAATTGCTGAGACTTCTGTGTTTGTGATGAGAAAAGGTCGTACATTTTCACTTTAAAGTTCCTTTGTCTACTTTCAACTGTTTGTGGATTTAATGACAATGTGCTTTCATCACATTAAATATATAGTGCATCTGCCAAATCAGAAGAGGCATAAACCTGCTCTAACCATGTTTTTGAAAATGAGTGTGGAATGTGGTGGTGGCCTGTGGCAAAGAAAGATGAAGGCAGCGTAGAGTGTGTCTGGCTGGTCTCAACTGTGAGCCTGCCAGTTTAACTGTTAGTCTGCTTTCATGGTAACTCGCTGGCTTGTTACTTGGTAAGCCCTTCCTCCCTGACGCTTCCAGGCCCTGGAAGTTTGTAGCATTAGCTCCTGCCTGTCAATATCCCAGTACACAGGCGTTCAGAGGTCTAGACAGAAGGCATGGCTACACCTGGTCACAGAAGATCAAACAAGGAGGAGGCTGTGTTCCTAACATGGAAGTGTTTGCAATAGACAAATCGCCGAAGAAGGAAAACAAAAATCAGCTTTACTGATTTTTATTAGATCAAAGAAATCACTCGTTACTTTTCATGGACTTTGTATTTTGTCCATCTCTGAAAAGACGTAGCACAACATAACACTTCAAAACCTATTAGGCAATTTTTGAAAACTAGACAACAGAGCAAGTTATAACGTAGGTTAGAAATGTATTCTGTGCAGTAAGCATTTCGAAGAAAAATGTACGTCTCGAATGCGAGTGAGATTTTAATCATATACATTTGTCGTTAGATATTGAAACAAAAGTACTGAGCTAAAAATACTCAATACTTTTTCAGTGCTTTCGATACGTTGCAATAAAACCGCTACTCTTCCTAAGAGTTGTTTCATTCTTGGCTAATAGAGTTAAAATACTTGGTACATTATTTTTGATCAAATCTTTAAATAACAATTTATTTAAAAGGTGTGATGTATGCAGTGGTCTCTGTCCTATGGGAAATCATTGGTTCCAAACTTTTGAAAAGGGCTACTTGTGCATGAAGCTATCAAAACTACAGTATTTTAATATAATATTAACAATTTTTATTAGCTAACAAGTACATTCACAAAATGTTATTTTCCAATGTTCAAACCACAGTGCAGCAGATCCAAATGGCACTTTTACAGGCTGTGAGCACTTAAAATGATACCACAAATAAGCCATGAAATTTTACCTGGTTAGCCAACAAATATGTAAGATGTTCTATTTATATTCAACAGCAGCCTTTGATTTTCACACATAAAGGAATATGTTGAACTGGAAAACCTTTGTTGGTTACTCTCTCCTGCTGATGGTTTAGACATCTGGATAACCGTGATACCACATGAAATTCTAGTGAGCCCTGAACCTTTTCATGAAACAACTCAACAGCCTGGTGGTGTTATCAACCTTATAAAACAGGTGGCTGGTACATCAAAGAATGGTTACTGAGGATAGATGACTCTATAGATGTAACGTGGACCACAGCATTCACTAGATCTCTTAGAGCAGTGCTTCCCAAGCTTTTATGCACCTGGCTCACCTGGGCATCTTGTCAATGTACAGATTTTTAATTTGTCTCAGGTGAAGCCCAAGGCTCTGAATTTTTAACATGTTCTGAGGTGATGTTGGTTCATGGACTGCACTTTGAGAAGCAAGATATGAGAGTACTATTGGTAAAATTTTGGTAAGGGAGACTATGGTGGACTGAATGTATTAACCATCTCATTATTAAGACAATGACCAGCCTGGCCAACATGATGAAACGCTATGTCTACTAAAAATACGAAAATTAGCCAGGCATGGTGGTGTGTGCCTGAAACCCCAGCTCCTTGGGAGCTTGAGGCACTAGAATCACTGGAACTCTGCAGGCAGAGGATGCAGAGAGACAAGATCATGCCACTGCAGTCCAGCCTGGAGACAGAATGCGACTCTGTCTTAAAAATAAAACATAAAAAAGACTAAATGAATGTAACATATAAAGTGTAATCTTTGGAATTTCTCTCACTACTTTCTAATACTTTTCAATCTGGGCTATGCCTATGAAAATAAGGAAAGCAGATGAGAAGTAAGAAAATAAGTCAAAAGTTATTCATCTATGTGACAATACATACGTTGGATATTCAATTGTCATTGTCTGTTTTTACTAAAGTGTCCTATTTCCACAACGTGATTACTTTAGCCAATTAAATGTAGATTTTTAGGACAACTTTCAAGAAATGCCGTGTGAAAAGTGATGAGTTGACGGACTCCTGTGTACGCCATTCTTAACTCATCTGAAAACATGGTACTCTTCCTTGTTTCATCTGCAAATTGTTTCATCAGCAATTTCCCATTGGATCGTGTTGAGCTCAAGGAGCTTTACTTTCATAGATGCTTTGGCCACATAACAGATGAGAATTAAGTGGGCCACACAGGAATTAGACCTGTGACCTTGGTCTCATTAACACAATTCTCTGTTCCTCTGAGCTAACGACCAGCACATTTGTAGCTGCCATGCTAAGGGAGATGAATGCCTCTTCCTTCTTTCTCCAGTTACTGAAGATGTTTCAAATGGTCTCACTGGACTATTGAGATGCATTTGCTTGGAGTATCTGCCAGGTTAGGCCAACATTGAAATTTCTTGGTGCATTTTGTCAAAGTACAAGGTTTACCTTGCTAAATCAAAGAGGCTTTCTGGATAGTATCGCCTGTAAACGAGATAATTGGGAATTCAAATCTTGGGAGAGTCATGGTACAGCCCAGAAATATCTTTGTGAAATGTAAATGGTTGTGTCCCATCCTCTGTATACTGACAATCCAGTCTAAATCAGTAAAAAATGTGATTTTGGTCAGAGCAAGACCTTTTCCCTATGAAATCATCCATGTACAGCAGGGTCTGCAAAAGTATTTGACAAAGGAAGTCACATTCATTTCCCTTTCACAGTTAACCTAGTAGAGCTTCTCGGACCAAAATTTCATTCTGCAAAAGAGCTGCAGAGACAGGAATATCTATTTGGGTTTCCATAGGAAGACATTTGATCATCCTGATCAACAGTTTTGGATCTAGTGATTCCCAGGTTTACCTTCTGCAAGGAAATCCCTAATCAGAGCATATCTTGATACTTCATGGCAGGAATTTTGCAGGAAATGAATGTTTTATTCTCTTAATCATTTCCCTCTCATGCTAGGCCTCACTAATCCAGCTCATTAGATAGAATCGATATTTACTAATCTTTTTGTGTATAACCCATTTTTTAAAACAGCATCAAATTGGACATTCAAAATGTCATTATATACATGTGATATTTTTATGCAGAACAGACTTCCAAAATGCAGTAAATAGTCTTGATTAAAATGGAAACCTTTTAAATAATCACAGGGTATAAAATTAAATGGAATAAGTCTGAAGTAATGCAAGTCAACCAAAACAGCTTTGACGCTGTTTTCCTCATTTCCTTCTGCTTTGTGCCCTGAAGAGTATAAAATTCTTAGGAGTGTATTAATGGAGTGCTGAGTGGCCCCCTGAGAGTACTGAGCCCTCCTCTCCAGAGGAACTTGTGTAATCACTGCCGACTGTTCACACTCTCAGCGTTCTTTCTTCGCTGCCTCTGCTCAGGCCGTTCTCCTTTTGAGGCAGGCACCCCTTGCCTTTTTCTAAATAAGGGTTCTTAACCGTGGGGCTGTTGATATTTTAGACAACATGGTTCTCTGGCGTCGGTGGCTGTTCTGTACACTGTAGGATAGGAGCATCCCTGGGTTTCCTCTCCACTAGATGCCAGGAGCACCCCTCCCTTGAATACCTGAAAATGCCTACGGTCAGTGCCAAATGTCCGCTAGGGAAGAATATACTCCCATTGAGAGCTGTTGCTCCAAGTTCTTTTTATCCCTTAAGCCCAAGCCACACCTATGCTATGAAGCCTTTCTTGGTCATTCATCCTATTCCATTACTTTTTAATTAAATGTATGTTAAACTCAGTGGCCTAACATTTCATGGTGAAAAAAATGAAATAGTATAGAACTGTAGAGAGTAAGAATAAGAGAATTATGGTTCATACTTCTCCCCTTTCCAGCTTTCCTCCCATTAGAGGTAACCACCATTAATATTTTAATTTTAGCAAGTTCCCTTCCAGATTATTTGAGACCATCTGAAGGTTAAAATGTGTTCTTATTGTTTGGATTTCCTTTTTTATTGCTAGTGAGCTTGAGCATGTTTTCATATTCTTTGGCAATTGTCATTTTTTCTTTTTGTATTGTTAGTTTTAGTCTACTTTTCCAATTTATTTT